AAAATACAACTTTAAAAATATCATATATATGTCCACCCTTTGCCTCCAGCCTTTCTAACAGAGATGTCATCAATGTGTCAGTCATTTCTGTTGAACTGTCTCGCTACAGGAAATGTGAATTCTTTAATCCTGATGGTACAAAGTTGCTCGAGAAAACAATCAGCCTGCTCTTGGTTTCTTGCGATCTTTTAGTGGTTATCACTTGCATGTCCTGCATCTTGAACAGTTGCTTGCAAAAGCATTGTAGGTCTTGTGACAGATCATTCAGTCATTCAAGCTTATTTTTAAAATTTTTAAGTCCTGTCTGTAGGAGATTAGTGCAGGAAGAAAAGCAGTCTCAGGATCAAGTTTTTAAAAGTATAATTTATACTATTTTATATTTATACTAGTTATACTATTTTATAGTTATATTAATTTTTAGTATAATTTATACTATTTTAAGTATAATTAAGTATAATTTTAACTATTTTAAGTATAATTTATACTATTTTAATAGCCACTGTTTTTATTATTCCTATGGTTTTGTAAGTTATATGTTTTCTAACTAAAAAGACATTGGCTAAAATTATACTGAAAGCCTCTGTATTTATCATGGAAGTGAATTGCATGTCATCATTGTCTGATAAAAACTTACATTATGCAAAAATTCAGGTTTTCAGGAGTACAAAAGAATTCTTCTTCATAAGGAGTATCATACAAAATAGATCTAAAACTTCAGAACCTAGACACATTTCAGGTTTTCCGTTTTTTTGCTTACATTCCGTGTACACTCACCGTCCACTTTAATAGGAACACCTGTATACCTGCTCATTTATACAGTGATCCAATCAGCCTATTATGTGGCAGCAGCACAATGCATAAATTCATACATATACAGGTCAAGAGCTTCAGTTAATGTTCACATCAAACATCAGAATGGGGAAAAAATGTGATCTCTGTGACTTTAATTGTGGCTTGGAACCTTGAGGTGGATGAGCTACAACAGCAGAAGACCACATCAGGTTCCACTCCTGTCAGCCAACCGCAAGAATCTGAGTCTATCATGGGCGCGAACTCACCCAAACTGACATTTGAAGACTAGAAAAGACCAGATGATTTTTATTTAATCTTCAACTGTCCAGTTTCGGTGAGTCTGACACACTCACTAAGTGATAAACTCCCTGAGCACTTTATTAGGAACACCTGTACACCTATTCATTCATGCAGTTATCTAATCAGCCAATCCTGTGGCAGCAGGATAAATGCAATGGATAAAATCATACAGATACGGGCCAGAAGCTTCGGGTAATGTTCACATCGACCATTAGAATGGGGAAAAATGTGATCTCAGTGATTTTGACCGTGGCATGATTGTTGGTGCCAGACGGACTGGTTTGTATATTTCTATAACTGCTGATCTCCTGAGAATTTCATGCAGAACAGTCTCTAGAGTTACTGCTTTCCTAGTTAGAAGCTGATCCTGATTTGCAAATTTTAGGTTAAAATCAGAACTTTGGTTGATGATAACATTCACATCTGATATTACACTAGACATTCAATGCAATGTTTGCAGTGCACAGACACTTTTAGGGTAAAAGGGGTTTATATTTGGTACAATATTCTCTTTTATTGACTTCATTTGTAATTTATGCTCATGGTATCATTCAGGAATCCTAAAAAGTGTATGAAACTGATCCTGAGCATTGTATACAGTATGTAGCCTATAGGAGCAGTAAGCTGTGAAATTCTAGTTTAAAAGTCAGAGACTGAACATTACATAACCCATTAATGAATCTCAGCTAGATCCTGTTTCTTTATCCCATCTCAGCTTTCCTGCTCTGAAGCTATATGAGCTCACTGTGTTATAGTTTCACATACACTGTTTTTGTTGTCAAAGGCAGTACTGTCATTATTAATGTCTGTGATACCAGCTCAAGTTCCAGACACAGTGCAGAAAACATACTTTGTGATCTGTCATGATATGATACAGATCATGTTGGTGTATTTGATATTGGAACAGTTTGTGTTATGCCACCTGGATACAACCTTTATTTCTTTGTAGTTTACATAGAGCACAATGTGCCAGAAAGCTCAGGGCTCTTTCACAGGATTTGCCTGGGAGGGTTTCGTGTTGTGTTTTGGAGCAGGCTTTCATTCTCAAACAGACCATCAAAAAATATAAAAGAAATCGCTATTTACCTCCTCTTTCAAATGGCTCAGAATAAGAGCACTGATTTGGGTACAGTTTGTGCCTCTTACGTATTTATGACTGTTTGGACAGGTGCAGTAGGTGACACCATTGACAGTCTCTTGATATGTCTTTTAGATTTACATTTTCATTTTGCATAAAATCATATGGCAGATGGTCTTCTTATCTAGAACTGCACAATAATGGCTAAAATGATAAACATGATTATTTTATCCAACACTGAAATCATGCTTATTTATCATCATCCAATTTATCATCCCAATTTATGAAAAAATTGTTTTAAAAATCGACAATAAACAGACTCCTCTTTAACATTATAAGTCTATATTCCTTGAATTCTTTGAATCCAGCCAAATAAGACTACTCCTTAGACACATTAATTAGTGTTAACAGAAATTTCCCTCAACTGACTATAAAACAGCAGTTTTCCTGCTGGTTTTGGTATCAATCTTGAAGTTTTCAAATTTGTGTGAGAATCTGCAGAGTGAATGAAGCAGTCATGGCACACAAGAGAAAAGAGTCACAAGACGTTTGCCGCAGGGTTTCTTAGCCTCAGTGCTAGAGATCCATTGGCCTGCATTAAACAGCTTTCTAATTCCTAACACATCTAACCCAACTCACAAAGCACTTAATAATTACCTAGTAAACTACATCAGGTGTGTTAGGAGATGTTATAAGTTAAAATTGTGCAAGGCAAAGGGTTGCCAGGACTTTTTCGGCATGCATAGCATGGTATGATAGTAGAATGGACGTTTGTTCTATGTTGATTCTAAAATTCTCACATCTGATTGGTCAGGAGGTGTTGATTAATTTCCTTTAATTGCACATTTCTATTAATGCCCTTGTTTTAATACATTATCATTTCTATAGTAACAGTAAATTTCACAGGAACGTACTGTGTATGTGGATCCTCCACATAATCTAAACATAATAATATATACAGTAGTAATGGATTTAAAAAAATGTGTCCTGTAATGAGACATTATTTAAGATTTTTGGAAGGAGTCTCCAGGGTCAGCACTTTGAAACAGACAAAGGTAAAGATATAAGTTTAAGTTTTCCACCACAGGAAAGTCTTCAGGGTGGAGAAGTTTGTACTTTTTGGTTAGTTTGTGGTTTCTTGATTCCATAACAAGCTGTATTTCTTGTCTTATTAACTCCAAGAGAGGGAGAAACAGAGAGCGTTTATAGCTGCTATATCATGAGTGATAACAGGGACTAACTTATTTCACAGATGCTCCACAACATTAAATGTAACTGCAGTTTAAACAGATGAAAAGTATGATGAGTCATTGTTTAATTAATGCAAATGTAATCATTGACAAATTGCTTAGATATGAGAGGAATAAAACAATTCAGGATGTGCTGTTACAGGAAAATCATCACCAAAGTCTTATCAGATTTTCCAAACTTTTTCTTTTAGATGCATTACTATTCACACTGCAAATATTATATGACCATGACAACCTCTGAAAGTGGTTTGAGTGACGGGATCACAACACCTTCATTATGTTTATCACATTTACACCATTAATACCAGGTGTGAATGAGGCCTGCGTGTTTACCAGAGAAATATAGTCCTCCATTATACTGTTCAAAAATATGTATTACATAGCATTTTTTTCTACTGATGGTTGCAGTAAAAACAGCTTCTGTGCAGTTCTTTATTTTCTGCAGGTGTTGTTTTAGTTTGCGTTGCCCTACATCCATGCGTATTATTATGTGTTCAATTTACAGTAACCTATAATGTATAGAGCAGTATAGTGCGCTTGCCCCTACATGTTCTTAATACGTTTTTACACATGTGTGTAGGAGTGTGTGTGTGGACACAGAGGCTCTTTATGTGTGTTGGTTGGGTTAAAGGTTCCTGCCTGCACTCTTGTTCATGCCGAGCTAGGCGCCAGTCTAGGTGCGAATGTAGCACCTGTATGCTGTATCGCTCCTGTGTGCGCTTCCCATGCCCTGCCGACTGGCCATAGCTCGGCTTGGACACGTGTCAAATTATTCTCACTTTGTTCTTCAACATACTTGCATCAGGGTTTGTCCTCTTGTCTTTCTGTCAGCGCTGTTCACTCCTGTTCAATGTACATAAAAAGGCACTGGTGTGGAATTTCCTCTTCACCAAATTAATTACAACATTAACTCCTTTTTTATGTTTTCAATAACATTAACTAAATTTATATTACAGCGCTGTTGAATTCTCACATTGATTGGTCAGAAAGTGCTTATTAATTTTCAGCAGCTCTGACAGTAGTTCTGGTCACAAGACAAATCACAGGTTTATATTAATGCACTCGTTCTAATACTTCATTGTGTCCATAGTGATAACTTATTCATAGGGACTTGGATGGTGGGTGTTCCATGTAATGTAAGCCTAATAATAAACAGATTTTACAACATGTTATTTAGTAAAGAAAAACTTCTAATCATTGATATGATGAAGTTTTCTATAAGAAGACATATACTGAGTATTTAATAAAGGAGTCTGCAATGCCATACTTTTTTTTACACTGTTCTTGGTTGGAAGATGGAAGGATAGAAGACCTTGCACTTTGTGCTTTCTCTGTACTATGTCAAGCTGCATTTTTTTCATCTTATTAACTTCCTGAGATGAAAAAGAAGAGGTTGATAACTAAGTGATAACAGGAACCAACTTGTCTCACAGATATTCCACAACATTAAATGTACCTATAACCGGGTAAAAAGTACATAATTCCATTCTTTAAAAAAATACAAAATTAAGATTCTAATAATCTAAGATTATTAAATATTCCTCTTTTATATTATATTTTATCTGAACTTAAGCTCAGGGGCAGTGGTAGGTCAGTGGTTAAGGTGTTGGACTACTGATCGGAAGGTTGCGAGTTCAAATCCCGGTGCTACCGCTGCTGGGCTCCTGAGCAAGGCCCTTAACCCTCAACTGCTCAGTTGTATAAAAATGACATAAAAGTAAGTCGCTCTGGATGATGGCATCTGCCAAATGCTGTAAATGTAAAAAGTTCAAGAGTCTCAAGCTGCTGGTCTGTGGTGATAAATGGTAACATTTACAGACATTCCTCTGATGGGTTTTAAAGGTTTTTCCCCCCTATCCACAGTGCCTAATGATAAACGATAAGTGGTGAGGTCCAAAGCTTCAAAATCTCTTTCTGTATCTGTGTAAATCTTATTGCTTTTAGTTTACCTGTATTTACGCAGCCATGTTGTTGCAGCATTACCCCTATCCTCCTGCTCAGAATCTGTAGATAAGAATCTGAGTTGACTATGTTGCAAATGCTCAGCTCATTAGAGTCCCATTACAGAATGAGAGGTTCATTACCTCTCCTTGATGTTGTACACATCATGAGGGTGTTTGTTCACTACCTGCTTCTCTGTGTTCATACATCTCTACATCTCTACATCTGTGTCCTCTCCTCACTGCAGCTCGTAATCTGCAAGCTTTAAGAAAATAAATGGGGGCTTGGTTTTGCCGTCATTCCTGTCTGCTCCTGTTTGGATCTCACACATCTGCCCCGCAGGTGTCTGCTTTCTTTTCCCTGCCTCGAGGAAAGCAGGAAAATGATTTGCTACATACGTTAAGACCCCCATGATGAATGGTTGTCTGAGTGTGGGAGAAATTATTGCGAGCAGTAGGCGTCAGTTGCTAGGAATTGGCATAGGACTTAGCCAGTAAATCTTTTCTTAATGAATAGGAACACTGAAGCAGGTATTTGGGTGTTGTGGTATAGGAAAGCTTGTATATATTTTTGTAGTATGGGAAACTGCACATGTTTTAATGCACAAGATGGTGCTGCACATGTTGTGTTACTGCTTAAGAGCTATCAGATTTATCCAACACTTATTCGTAAACTCTTAAAAAAGTTTAAGATCAAGTCCCTGCTTTACACATCCCTCATCCTCAAAGATAATGAATGTTAGGCATCCCACAGCTAGAACCTTTCATTACTCCCAAAATTTAATATCCCGCTTTCTGAACCAGCCTGTAGTACAGTAGGTTCCAGTTTCTACAGTAGTTCTGGCTCATTAGATGTGGTATAAACCTGAGCGTGGTCTGATCAGACAGTAGCCCACTGAGAAAGGCACAGACATGTGACCAGCATGCGTCCATACCCAAGCCAAAAATCACTTCCATTCAATTCCTTCATTGTTGTATGTCATACTCCATCAGTTTTTCTTACGTGAAATTGGACTCAATCTGTTGGATCTGTTAGCTGCATATGTGCACTATTAATAGCCTGTAGCTCTCTAAATAAATACACTACAGTTTTACGATGAAGCCAGTAATGTAGTTACAGTAAATAGTGAAAGGATGTCTTCCAGTGCAATCATTGTATGTACTGAAGCAGGCTTTTCCTTCAGAGTATTTTAAAAGTTACTCGAAAGGGTCCAAAAGTCAAAGTGTGGGTCTACTACTATAAATAAAAAAATACAAGCATGTGTTCCTTAAAACAGAAACAAATGTATTTTTATCTTAGAAATCCTTCTATGAAACTGAAATATATCTTACTGTCCTCCTTTCAAACTATATACTATGTTAGATATTACTATTTCTAATGTCTAATACTATTAATATCCTCCTTGATCTGTTATGGGCAAGGAAAATATCTGATACATAGATGCATTATGATTCTATTTATGTCCTAAAAAGCAAAAGCATTTAGATTATTGAATACTACTGGTTTTACTAAGCAATTACAATGCTTATTATTTTAAGAACAATAAATGATCTTTATGGAGAAATTGTACCAATTAATTAAAAAAATACACACTATTTCTACCTATTTCAGTTGTAGTTATGTATATGCAAATATTCCTACTAAAAAGCCACAGGTGATCTGTCACCATATATGAATATTTTTCCTGGTTTAGTCAGTAATCACATTATTATCAATGCTAGCATGCTAGTAGACTCAGACTTTTGAATCCTTCTGCAATAATATCATGTGTATATGTGTGTATTAAAGCAGGTCCTGCTCTGTGTGGGTTGTGTTTCAGCATGTACGGGCCATTCAGTGTCCGTCGGGAGCGTGTTCCTGACCTCTCCTGCCTGCATCAGTACAGTGAGTGGCTGGCCAGCAGGCATGAAGCCAGCCTACTTCCCATGAAGGAAGACCTCGCTCTGTGGCTCAACACTATTCTGGGTAAGGCAGTAAAATTCACAGTAGCAGGCAGTATGATAGGAATATTTTATTAATAACCTTCCAAAACATTTAGTGTGCATGCAAGAAGACTTAAGAAGACGTAGTTAAAGGTACAGTCAGCGAATTTGATGTTAGCTGAGGTTGCTTTGAAACTCAAAACTCAAACAAATAAAGCTCCTCCCTTCAGTGTTTCCTCTAAAGCAATGCCCCGAAAACACGTTTAGGCTATATGTCTGAATACAAGGGCAAGGTGGGATATGAATTGACAGGAAATGTATTTGACAGGAATGTAAAGATTGGATGTTGTGGTCTTTTTTCTGTTTACTCTTTCCTCTGTGCAAATGTTACTGACAGCTGACATAATATTATAAAAAAAAGTGTGAAACATGATCAGTCTTAAAAATCACTTATGCCACCTTTAAATTCCACAAAGAAACAAGCCATCAGATATGGATGATCTGAAATTGTGGCCAGTATCCAACGTTTTCAGACAAACAGGATAACCCAAATTGCCCAAATTCCCCTGCATGTAGGATCAATGCAAAAAAAAGGATCTGCAACCAGATTTGCTTTTACAAATAAACTAGGACTTGCCACTGCTTGTCTTATTGCTTTGACACAGAGAGACTGTTGTAAGGTTGAGGAAGTCAGAATCTAGCATGTTATTATAAACAGATGAACCCCAGAGAGTTGCAGAATAGCCTGTTGGTCATTTTGCATACAGACTATGAGGCTTATTTCCATGTTAGCTTATTCAAACTCCACAGGCCTTGTCGTAGATGCAAACAAACAACCAGCCCTACTCTCTTTAACCACATACACATCTACACTACGTCCCTTTTCGGGCACACACTTTCTGTTCCGGGATGATCTCATAGTGCTGGTATGGCCATGTGGCACAGCAGACTGCAGGAGGGCACTTAGTTTCATTACCAACATCTCCCTCTCTCTGAGGGGAAGCAGTTAATGACCATCCGCGTCATTCTGTACACCGGCGTCTGTTTACGTGTCTGGGTTTGTTGTGGTTTTCCTCCTTTGATGCCTCCTAGGCACCTCCTCTTCATCCTCCACGTACAGCTCCGGTGCTTGATGCCCGATTCCTGTGTGTGTACACTTAACACCGGGGCCCTAGAATGCATCTGCATGCCTGTGAGAAGTCGGGGGGCAGGGGGTTGACGCTTGCAGTCAGCATACTTAGAGGATGTTTCTGAGCACCTGAGTGTGCCCAAGGCAGAGGAAGAATGCAACACTAGCTAGAGAGAAAGAAGTGGGAGCGGGATTTATGGAGGAGAAAGGTTTTAATAGCACCACACACACTGTGCAGACACTTTTCCCTGTAATCTGGAAACACATACAGATGAAAATGAGCAAAAAAAAAAAAAAAAGAATACATAAAAAGAACAACACATGTAAAGCGTGATTCTTGAGCTTGTGGACCATGTGTAGTTTTTTACTACAGTTTCCTTAGTCCGTAAAATTATTTTTAATTTAAGTTAGTTAATTTCGTTGAACCCCCAGCCCCGCGCCCCCCAAAACAATAGTCTTTTCTTGTAATGTCTAACAAGGTTAGAGACGGTTGTAGATGGACCATTAGAACATTTCCAGCTCCTTTATTTTCTTAGGTTTGTGCATGTGGAAACGTTCTATATCAGGCCAGCATATGGATAAAGTCAAGAGACCAAGATGGCCAAAACAAAACCTTTTTTATCTTGCGTCCTAGCATTTGTGGTTTGATTCTGATGTAGGTTTGGGGTCATAAACTTGTAGAAAGATCTGGTTTTGGCAACCTGGTTTTAGGCTAAAATCTCCTGTTACTTATCAGAAATCACTGATAACCACTAGCTGCAAAACAGCCCCAACGTTTCAGTATTCCACCACCATATTTTACACTGTAAACTGGGTTTTTGCGATTCTGAAACTGTGATCTTTCTGCTTTTCATTGCCTCATTTACAGTAATCCTCACTGTTCATGGGGGCAGTATCCCAATTCCTGGCAAATTTCCAACTCTTCCAGACTTTTGAAACTGTTTTTTATGGTTCTGATTGAGCTTAAAGGTGTTTTTTAATGGCCTATATATTTATTTTTAATGGCCAACAAATATTTGTTTCATTTTGTGTTGAAATCTTTTTGATTTTACCTATGATGATGGAAGACATCATTTTCTTGTGAAAGGGATCTTGTGAAACTTTATATATAATATCTCAAAGAGAAAAATTCAGTTTAATTTTTTTTTCAAGGGTGAAAAGTTTTTAATAATTTTGCCACGTATGTGTTTGTTTAAAAAAAAAAAAGAAGCTCTTGGGTTAGTGTGGGTTAGTGTCATTAATTCTGTTCCAAACTGCTGTTTATAGTTTTCTGTATAAACTTCATGGAAATTGTTCCAAGCATTTACAATATAATGCTGATTCCAAAGCACTAAACTAATATTGATTTTTTTTTATTAACACTTTCTGAATTTCCATGTCTGTTTAATTATTCAGGAATTAATATAACAGCGGAGAACTTCATGGACATGCTGGAGACTGGAGTTGTGCTCTGCCAGCTGGCTGAAGAGTTACAGAAGAGGATGATTCTGGCTAGCAATGGCAAGGTGCTCACACTAAAACACTTATCTTAACCCTCACATGCAGCTCAGTCGACTACAGAGTAACTACTCATTTGTCTCTAGCAGGACTCAGGTTAATGCCGTCAATGTTTATTAAACTCTGGGGTTTTTTGCTGTCTATTGAGCATGGCTTTCTTTTGTGT